GGAGAGAGAGAGAGAGAGAGAGAGAGAGAGAGAGAGAGAGAGAGATCGCATGCATGGCGCATGCGTGCCTCTGTTGTTGTTCTGGAGTGAAAAAGAAATGCAAATAAACCTGCAATTTTACCGTTGCGACGATGAATGCTTATATTATTCTTAAGGACGCTTAGTTATGTAGATAGATAGATGGATAGATAGGTAGATATTAGTATCAGGTCGATTTGAGACAGTAGAAACAATGCTCCTGTGTTTCAAAGCCCATGTTCAAAGTATCGGGTTCAAATTTTGATAATACGCAAAGAAGAATCAATTTTATTTCTAAGACATCAAAGCTTTTTAAAAATCCACCTTTTATTTTATTTTCCAGTTAAACATAGGTTCCTTTTGGGTTTTTTCTCTTTTCCTCGATGCCGTGAGCAGGATCTGGTGTCTGTAGTTTGAAGAACGATGCAGTATTGATGTGCACAGCGATGTTTCGTATTTATTGGTACCTAGGATATTTGAGAAAAGGGAACGGTTTAGTGTCGTGACATGAGTGTACTCAAAAAGTTGTGCATCCGCAGTTTTTGTCTTGAGAACCTGTCCTTTATTTCAGATTTTAGGTGAAATGTGAAGCATAGCTAAATGACTATTATTGTGCTCCGGTTTACTCAAACATACGAAGCATGGTCTTTAATTCGGTACCCGATGGGCGTTCATATTTCAGTCGCCTACTGCAGCTTCCAAACAAGACCAGCCAGTCGTCGTAGCCTACCTTAAAACAGAAAAACGAAAAACGAAATTATAATATTAAACAGAGTGAAAGCAAAGGAGAAGAAACAAAAAGTCCAACGCACTAGTTTTCTTTCCGCGCGGGTCGTTTTGTTGGCTTGTCTCGATTCTCTCCCTCTTCCTGGAGGCGTTTTGGCGTGGGTCTTGTGGCTTTAGGACCGGCGCAGTGAGAGTGTCTGAGCGTGCTGGTGATAGATAGCAAGGATGTTCCGGTAGCCGGTAGCTCGGAGGCCTGAGATAAACCAAGTTTTATGTCGCGGGCACTGAGCGCTGTCGCCGCGGTGGAAGCTTAGCGTCGCCATTTCTACCTTCCAGGCATGTCATAACGTTATTTTGATGGCTTCGATAGGCACGGGAATGGGGGGAAGGGGACCTGGGAACCAG